TTACCCTTAATGTCAATTGCAGCTGAGATTCTGCTGTACTCACATGGCAGTACCTGGGATGGGAGAAAAAACAGCCCCCCCCCGCCCACACAAGCACCATGAGACGGGCAATTAAACCACACAGACAGCAACAGGCGCAGTTTGTACAATGTGAAGCGGTTGTCACGCATCTCGCAGCCTTGTGATCAATTAACATCTATACAGCCTGAGCTAGAGATGATCAATCCCCTTGTCGCCACATTATTCATAAAACCATTAACTCTTTTACAGCTCTGTACAGCAGACCAACTCCAATCAAATCCAAAAAAAGAGACTACAGCAAAGGAGATATTTGTACCAATCTATGAAAGGAAAAGGGGAAAATGTTCTTAACAAGTAAGAATGATGCTGCTACTGACCACAGTACTAAAGTCACAGACATATCACTTTCCTCAGTGTTTTGTCTTAGCACTAGTTCAGTAACAGGTCTGTTCTATCAATATTTAATATAGTTTTCAAGTGACTCGGGTTATGAAACGCAAAGACATTTGTTAGTAAGATTTCGGCAGCTGAGGGAGTTTCTGCATCATAACACTGAGTCATCTTGAAGAATAATGCACAATCTGAGTAAGTGGAGCTTTTCTGCTGACATAATCTCAAATGGTGCTGCATAAACTGAATATTCATTGTAACTAATTGTTCCCAGATTTCAAATCAGTAAAGAGGACATCTTTAATTTCCAGCTATACAAAACTCTCAGTTTTTCTTTGATCTTAATTTTTTAGAGGAGGAGTAGGGGAACATGAAGGAAGTCAAATATCTTACCCTCACCATCCAATGATGACACAGGGACAGTGATGGCACAATAATGGGAAGAAGGAGAAAAAAAATTATCACCTCCACTTTGAACGCAGATTCCAAGAGATGAATGTTCTGAAACTGAGGGACCAGGCGATTTGCGCACAAGTACTCGGGAATTAACACAAGGAGCCATGGCTCTAGCAATAAATTTTAAAAGAATTTTTAAAAACCTATCACATCAGATATAGTCTCATATAACTAGATAAAAGTAAACTAAGCATTTAGTGATATGAAAATCTAACCTAAGGAAACAGAGCTGCATTGGTGTAACCTCAATATATTTCAATATACTTCAAAACATGCTCTAAAGAAAAAAATAATTAAATAAACACTAATTAAAAAAGGGAAAAACACTTTAAAAATATATACTCTGTCAGACCACTTTGTCTAAAATATCAATGTTCTTGTCAAAGAATACATTCTAGACCTAGACAAAGGACAGAAGAAAATTGTTAGTAAAATTAAAGTAAGAAAGTGACTAAATGGAACGTGTTAATGGACAGGGTTAAAAGAAAGGGAACTGATGGGTCAGAGGGAGTTTACCAAGAGAACTCCTTGAACACTGTTTTTGTGATCAGCCTTTTTAATATTCTCATTATATCAGCTTAGAAAATGACACCTTGATGCCAATGAAATATGCTGCTCACATCATGCTGGGAGGAAAAATAGAAGAAAAACAGATGAAAACTGAGCATCTTTCAGGGAAAAATGATTGACAGAAACCAGAAGCAACATAAATGAGACAAAATTTAACAGTGAGCGTTCCAAGTAATGCTCTCTGGAACTGCGTGGACAGATTGTGACAATTACATTTTGCTATAACCTGTGAGATTCCAAAACCTGTTTTCATTCCATTGGAACAAAACTAAAATCTTTTAAATGTTTCGTGAAATAAAGCCTGATGTTGAAATCAGATGTGGGGGAAGGATGAGGAAGTAGGGGCTTTTTGTTTGTTTTGTAATCTTGGCCAGAGTTGACCAGATCAGGCTGGATCACAACACCAAAGGACTTGGCAAAACACTTGGACTTCAGTGAAAGGACATATGTCATTTTTGGAAACGCTCCAGGCAGCTCTGCTACACGTTCCTACCGTTCAGAAACAGCCTTGGTAGTATAACAAGGACCTTTTTCATGCAAAGCCTCATTAAAAGAAACAGGTTGAATGGTAGTGCCATAATGCTGCACAAGATAAATATAACACATGTTAAAGCATTTTATGCAATGAGCACCAACTTGTCTGAGTAGCTTAGGCAGCAATTTCAATACACATTATGTTTGCAGTGTAAAGTCTCAGTGAAATGAATATGACACCTGCACTACTATTGTCAATATATTTTTGTGTAACAAGATTATTATTTTAGTTATTCTAGTATTATGTAGCACTGAAATAAACTCTCAGGAGAAGTCAGATAGCTGAGGATAGCTAATTTGGTCTGCCATGACAAAACTTCAGAGGAGTGAAGACAGTATATCTAACAACATGAGCTACAATATTCAAGCACAATCGGGCCGAGGACACAATAAAGTCATCTTTTTCCTGTGATCCCTAGGGGCCTATTCTATTTTTAATGCTGTTTTCTTTCTGTTTGATCCTCTGATTGTTCTAATGTAGCTTCTATACTGACATTAATTCTGTCTCCGTTCTAGGCAATATTATAAAAGGGGGGAAGAGAGAATAACAAGCCCATAAAGTGATTGGCTCAGACAATCTTCAAATGCAGTAGCTAACTGGATATGTAACTCATACAAGACGACCCTTGAGGAGGGATGGACAACACTATAGGGAAAGGAAACATCCTTAAAAAAAAAAAAAAGCTCCTGTTCTGTTCAGCTGAGTGAACAAGTCTCTGATTTCATTAGTTCTGATATTCTGAAAATCATACCAATAAAGTGGATCCTATTCTCAAGCATGCACACTTCTAAACACATGAATGCAAAAGGAATAGCTTTTAGAAAGTCTGCGATTACTCTAAATTTGAACTGTAAGCAGCATAATGCCAGATCATCGTTAAATTAAACACGAATCGCTTCATTGTTCCAGCTACATGAAACGCAGCTTAACGATAGCATTTACAGGAGCACCAGCAACATCTCTTGACATTGCGTACATCAATTTAAGTAGGTACTGCCCCTATCCAACCAAAACAGCGCCACACACAGCACAGGCAGAAAAGGCATTTGAGGAGCCATTGTATTTGATGTGGTAGCTCTATAAAAGCCTCTTCTCTTCCTGATGATTGATGAACAAATAAATCTCTAGGGCTCAATCTCCTGTGACACATTTAAGTAACTGCCAGAAGTTGCAAACTACTTGTGTCCAACTCTATAGGGCTGGATATTATTTGGATTATTTAGTCTGGGGACTATGATCACTAATATAAGCAACATTCAAGGTCAGTTACAAAATTTGACACAGATTCTTCCACTCTAAAATACTCAGAACCTCCACAGGCTCAAATGTGAGAGAAAAAATATTCTTTTATTTTATGAGTAAAATAAAAATTAAAACAAATATTAGACATTTGGCTCCATCTTAGTCCCTCACATTAAGTCAAGAGCAATAATTTATTAATCAACATTCAAGAAATCCTTATTACATATGACAGGTTTTGGAGGGTTTTTGCTTTCTTATTTAAAAGACCTTCAAGAACAATCAGCTAGGGAAATATTCTGACAGACTGTTTTGACATATTCATTTGATTTGCGTACTAAAGCAAAAGAAGTTGCGTTCTTCCATTAACTTGAAACATTTTCACATTCTTCAGTGCTAAGTAGATTTAAATTTTTCAGTTCTTGTAATAGCATATTCCATGGTAATACATAATCTGCTAAAACAGTATCGCTCCCCAGAATAGACCTTTTCTTAAGGGATCTCAGTCTGAATAGCATTGATAAATTCTAAGATGATCAGCATTGTAAATTTTCTTAAAAACAGAAAACAGCAAGGATTTTATTGTGGAGAGTCCCCGTAAACAACCAAACTCTCTATATTAGTTTACTTCTGGAGATAAGGCAAGCATGGTGCACTTGGAGAAAACCAAAAGAAAATCTCTTGCTTCATAATTTTCCACATAATGGCAGTACTCTGTTGCTCTAAAGCACAATCACATTTATTGTCTTAGAACAAATGTAATGTTTTCATGATTTATTTCAGCAAAATGGAAGTGAAGCCCAATGATACAAAAAGAAACTGACAGCTACTCCAATGGTACATACAACAAAAAGTACATCAAACTTCAGCTGCTGAACAAAAGGCAAAGCTCCCAAATCACTGGTCACAACAGCAGAAACCTTTTAAAAAGATAATTTTTGTGCATGACTGATTCTACTGTCGCTACCTTGCACTGACAAAGCTGCATAATAAACTCAGCAACATCTGAGTGTAGCTTCCCTCACATTGTCCCTGCAGGCATTTCTGGGCATTTCCAACCCATGGGGAGAAGTCAAAGGCAGACCATGCGCTCATAAGCCTGACAGGTACAGGGAATAAATCTTAGTGTGCTGCAATTTACCATACACATTTTGCAAGGGGACTTAAGAACAGGCAGTTTATTTAGGTTTATAGCAAACTGCTGCAGTCATCTGACTGCAAACAAACAAAAACAGCTACTTAATTCTGTATAAGTGATCCTGAACGTGCAGCGACAAAGCAGCCCACTTGAGTTACCTTCTGCTGAAAAGAGCCGGTCACAGCGTGGGCTCAAGGGACCGACTCGCACTCAGCAACCAACAGCAATTGTCAACTTGAACTTATGAATGAGCGATCACTGCCTTTCTATTGCTTTAGAAATATCCACAGCGCGGCTTTACGAAGGCATTCGACAAGGGCCCATCGCACCCGTTTTCAAAACAAAGGATTTTACCAAAGGGTTTGCAACAGTAAGACTCAGTTAACTGCACCTGAAATATTAAACAGGTCTACAGACCGCGCTTACTTTGAGAGAGCGACTGTGCCACTTCAACTGTTTTTTATTCCTTGCTGGCAGTCACAGACAGATAAATCTACAATGGGAAGGTAATGTTTTAATACTTGCACCAGGCTCAGATGCCACCGTGTGAGAAATACTGTTTGGGTTTGCCGTTTTTTTTTTTTTTTAATAATCCTAAAAGCATAATATTTCTCACAGCCAAAGGTAAATGAGGTTATGCAAAATACTTACTTCGAAAATGCTCCGAGGCATAATAATAAACATCCTCATAACCCTCATGGTAATCCTCCTCTGGCCGGTACTTTTTGCCTTTTCTTCTTCTCGATCTTCTTATCTGCTTGACAAAGCCCAAGAAGCGCTCCATCTCCTCGGCAGCGGCACCAACTCGCAGCCCCTTCGCCCTTGGCTTCACAGACAGCTGTCCGAGCACAAATTAACAGCAAACACGCAGGCAGAGCTACACCTTTTGACCAGCCACTCCGGCACCATGAAAAAAAAAAAAAAACCCTTCCTTATCTCAGCTATGAATAGAAAGCATATTCTTTTTCCCTTTAAAAAGGATGGGGGGGGGCTTTATCAAATCTACTAGCTGGAATATTTCAACATGAAAATAGATAAAGGAGGAAAATATTGTAGTGAGAAGTGAATCTCTACATCTCAAGCAGTTATTAAACAAAATAGAAGAAAGTTGAAGAGATCTGCCTGCCTGCCAGCAAGAGGAAACCCAGCACTGAAATCTCCCTATCCTATGTCTCCATCATTTGAAGAGGGCTGGGAGGCGGGGATTCATGTTAGTCAATGGACTGAACCACATCTCGAGGCAAAATAGGTTTCCGATTGCCAGTTAAATCCTATCCTAGCATTTAAACGGGCACAAGCTCAGGACCTCGTTTGAGTTCGTTTGTTCTAAGAACAGGAAACTCGCTAATCCATTTTTGGCATCACATGTGCTGCATGAATAAATAGCAAAGTGGTTTAACCCATACACACAGCCCACTCACCGACAAGTGTGTGCTGAATGTGTTAATTGGAGCAGCAGGGAGAAAGCTCGGCAGCTGCTAAAAAATGACACATATACCCATTGGGCATTAGTATATTCTAATCACTGTTAGATCTAAATATTAAAATACACTTCACAGACAGGTTTCTTATGGAGCTGGCGAGGCTATATGGTGATAGGCAAACAAAGGAAGCAACATCATAAGCACACCATGCAATACTCATTTAAAATCCTAGCCGAGTTTTAAGAACTTTAAAATTAAGCTAAAGCAAGAGAAACTATCCTTTGCACTGAGTGACGCTAGTAGAAAGCCTGAAAAGGTGCCCAGGACGTTTTCTTACTACTCGTCTGAATTCCACAAGCATTCCCGAAGATAAGACTGGAATTTCATGGGCATTTCTGATGAAGTTTCCCTCCCTCGCAAGAACAAAAGCAGTATCTGCTCAAATTCTATCACGCTGCCATTTACCACAGAGTTTGCTTTGTAATTGCAGTCCAGCAAACCAAGGGAGGTGTCTATGCCAGCAGGACATCTCCTGGTGGCTGGCACAAGTCCAGAATCGATCCATCACCTCCGTCAAACCATGCACCGAGCATGGTCACCTGCATCCACGCTCTCAGGAAATGCCATTTCCCGCCTATGAATACGAGAAAGTCATAGAGTCTTCCTGTAAAATTGATTTTACAGGATCATCACCTGGAAAATGAAAACCACGCACAGGTGGCATTAGTTTCTGGTGATTCACTAGTTTGCAAAGAGCAAAGCAACGCAACTTAGAAAAGGGCATAAGAAGTAAAGCAAAAGCTAGGATTGCAATTTATCACCGCTTCAATAGAAGCATGAAGATATTGATCATATTGTAGTTGGAATTTTCTAGTTTTGCAACATGTAGAAGCAGTACAGTAAGCTGGATCTGCTGTCTGAGGGTGTTACACACAATGAAAGCAGGCAGGCAAACTCTTTTGGGGACTGTTCCAGCATCCCAGCTATTTTAAAATAAGACAGTTGCAGGAACACGCCCATTTTAGCTGGTGAAGCTGACAAAAATCCTGAATGTACCTAGCAAGCTCTCCACAGGAATGTACTCTAATCTTCCTCGACCTCAGCAGCCCGTTTTTCCACTGTGAAGATGCAGCCACTATCATTGCTTGATGCACACACCCTGAGGTCACTACCAGAACTATTTTTAGTGTGGTTAACTTTTATAAGGAAGTTAGCTGTGTTTTGTTACATTCCTGTTTTTATCACACAGCTTATAACTTTCAAAGGATAAGAACTTACAGGGATATTACACACACACACACACACACACACACAAAATCTTTTGATATGGACCCCTACGAATGGAGGGCTGTATATTCTCAAGGTTTCCATTCAGATGTCTTTTCTGTGCTTTGCTACCAAGCAGCAAAAACATTGTTAGCATCACGAAACACTGAAAACAGCAACTTAGCCTAGAGCAGAGACAGCAGTCTCCTCTCTGGAAATGGAAATGATATTTTGATGCCATATTTACTCCCACAGAGCGTTCTCCCTGACACTTGTGTGAGGGACTTACCTTACTTTTAGGTAAGAAAGTTGCCTGTAGGTCAGAAACATTCATCTTTAAGACAGAAGTCTTGCAGTCAATGTTTTCTAAAGTTAAATTATAAATGTCGAGTCAAAGTGATACAGCTACTTAAAAAAAAAAAGGAGAAAAGTGGAAAACTTACCCTGTTTTAAACTGCCCCGTAAATGAGAGATGAAAACTGAAATCTGGCATATGCTTAGCTTTTGCCAAGTAAATATACCTTTCTCCAGTACCGCTGCTGTTAAACACGCTGTTGTAACAGAAGCTTGTGTTTGAGATGTGGATTCCACAGTCCTAAACACGGCCTGAAGAAAGCCAGTCCCCAAACAGATTTCAGGCCTTTCCATTGCAAGGCAAGCAAACTAAATAAGGAGGCAAGGTAGCAACCAAATTCTTTCAGCTAGCACAGTAAGCACCAGTTGTAGCATACCAATTGCCTCACCATTTTCTAGAGGAAAATCAATTTTCTTTTGGGTGAGTTCTGAGTTTTTGGAAAAACGCATCTTTACCTTGCACAAAAGATCTTCCCCCCTCTCGCCTAGGCTTGCAAAGTGCACCACTAGGGAAGGATTCATTGGGCACGCTTATATTGCTCATTTAGTAAAGCAGAAAAAAGGGCACTAAACTGTATTATTGTCAGCGGTCAAGGTAATGGCTCCCACATATCTTGTAAAGCAGGAAAGGGCTGAGAGGGAGCACTAGCGCAACTCTTTGCATAAGCACGGGGGAGTTCATGCTCTGCTGCTCTTCCCTGTGTCCCAGCAACTACCACTGCCAGTAAAGGCCAGGCCCCATCTCTCACCCCAGAGGTGCAGGAGCGGGTGCTACCCACCGCTTCTAGCCCACAGGCTGCCAGCCTGAGCAGCTCCTCATTTATGCACCTCTTTCCTTTTCTATGAACTTAAAGTGCAGAGATAAAGAATGTCAGGATTTGGGCTGGTTGGTTGTTTTTTAAATCTAGAACAACATGAGTTCATGACAGGATTTTCCCCTCCCTAAAATATTTTGGTATTTAGGGTTATCTAAAAAGAAGAAAACATCTCAACTGTAGACAATGGTTCTATATATTATAATAGTCATGAGTATCATGTGTTTTGCCATACTATAAAGCTTTCTGAACAAAACTTATGTTGCATATGCATTACATACTACCTTTACCGCTTTGTTGAGAACACTGGAGACATTCATTAGCTAATCCTTATGCCACACCTATAAATATTTTATAATAGTCCTACTTACAAATGTATAAGCAGAGAATTCAGTGTCACAGACATGGTTTACCGTAGTTAAAAAAAAAACCCAGCTTTTCTGCTGCTCAGCATTCCCTCTTCTGTAGCTCCTTGTGGTGAACAATTCGCTCCTTGATGAAAATGAACACAGATCCTGCAACCCTCTGCTTGAAAATGAATAAAAAGTATCCCAAGAGACTGACAAAAAGCAGGAACATACTAGATGCATACAACACCTCTAGAAAGGCATCCTGATTTTATGGGGGGAGCAGAGGAAGAAACAAAGATTGACATTGAATTTTTTAACATGCAAAACATCAGATATGACAGCGCATTTCATCCCATAGTGACAAAGAGAATAGGATAATTGCACCCAAAGAGCATAAAATAAGGTGTCAGCTGATATTCTGAGGCTTTCTCTGCATTAGAATTTGGGGATCAGTTTTCTTGCGGTCAATGCCACAACAAAAGTTGCAATGTAAATATGACTAAAATTCTTTGGCTCATCCTTTCTCCAGGAATACATCTACTCCAAACAAAGCAACTGCTCTGTTGATATTTCCAAAGTGGTTTGCTTAGAAAACGCAAGGATAGCCATGCTGCCTCCAACATCATGTTAAAAAATTTTGCCAGGTGACAGCAGGTGGATAATAATATTGCTTTATCCGTTCTGATAATTAATTTGTTTAACGTAAGTTACCAGGAACCTCTATCAAACTTGACCTGACTCAGGTTAGTGACTTACTGGAAAAGACTTCATGTCAGTAATCAAATATACCAGCCCGACACTGTCCTTTTCCAATAGTTAAGCTGGGGTGTAAATGCTTCTGCAGAACCAAAATAGGCCGCTTCTACTGAAGATAGATATCAGTGTTTAGGCTTGCCTTTGTATCCATAGCAAAGATTGGTTTTACATGTAAATGTAAATGTACCTGTAAAATGCATACATCCAACTTCTTACTTGCACAGAATTAGATGTGCAGTTATCTAGGTAAAATTTCACAAGCGACATACTTGTTTTCTGCAGCACTTCTTCCAATATTTGGGGAAAATAATAGGGAAAATGTTTTGGTATCCATGGATAAGCCCTTAAGGTAGTAAATATTTATCAAGGATTTCTATCTGAGTGGGCTTGCAAACCTGGTACTTTGAAATCAGAATTCTAAGTATGAAATAGGCCTCTACGGTTTAGTACCATAAATACAGAAGGGAATTGGTACGAAGTGTTAACTGTTTTAAGCCACTATTTTCTCTTCCATTCATCATTGTGTTCTAGTGTTTAAAAGAAAACATCTTAGCTGGAGGTTCCCACCTGTATCTCCCCTTGCTTCTCTGGGGCTTTGCATGGCGGGAAGGAGCACTCTCTCCAGGACGTGACCATGCAAGGGAACGCAGAAAGGCAGCGGGAGAGACCTGTGTCAGGTTACCTCTTGGGACAAAACACAGAACTATAAATGCAAAAATAAAGATGAATATAAACAGCTTATGGAAGTTGTCTGAACACAGGAAATAGGGCTATTTTTCCCTCTTTCCTCCTCCCCAGAACCCAAAAAGATATTGCAACCTCAAGAGAGAAGAATGGACATTTTCTTTTCTGGCTCTCTTTCCACTGTGGGATGTGTTTTTGATAATCTGATGTTGTTGTTTGTGGAGACCAGCAATAACAGAGAAAGGATCTTCCAAAAACAGTTCTCCTTATTCGTTTTACTGTGTCATCTTGCCTGACCTTCCAGTTTTTCAAGAGCAGATGTTCATTTAAATGTCATAAGTCCTCACGTTAAGGCTGCAATTTTCCACTCAGAATTTGCCCTGAATACCTTAGTGTAAATCATGACCTTATCTATTTGAAAATTATCAAATGTCTGTGTTTCTCAA